TGTGTGTGTGTGTGTGTGTGTGTGTGTGTGTGTGTGTGTGTGAAAACGACAAATTACGCTGCTGCTGCCTCCACCTAGAGTATGTGTGTATGTGTGAGTGTGACTGTGTGTTGTCGTGTTCGGTATAGACAATTCCACAAAAAAAAAGCATGACCAGGCCAGACTGTTTTGTCAAACTTTCAGTGTCTCATCAGGAGGTTGAACCCCGACAGACAGTCTGATCCCAGGATGCATTTGACTGATGGATAAGGACTCACCACGTCACCTCGAGTCAGCGATACCCCTGAGAAAAGTGGTCGAGTTTACTCACACCAACCCTGCAAGAGAGAGAGAGAGAGAGAGAGAGAGAGAGAGAGAGAGAGAGAGAGAGAGAGAGAGAGAGAGAGAGAGAGAGAGAAGGAACTACTGTTGTTGGTGGTGTTTTCTGCCTGGGGTTCCCCTGTGCCCCCCAGGAAAGGGAACAAGAAACGATAAACGATGGTTATGCATTGCAATTTGATCCAAAGATACATGCTCTTCTCTGATTCAACCTCACGTGAGAAGGGGTCAACGATGAAATGCAGACGAGCACGTCTCGTATGGGGTCGACGATTAATCACAGAAGAGCATGTGTCGTCTGATTTCTGATCGATCAGCAATGCGTAACCCTTTTTTTTTTTTTTTTTTTTTTTGAAACCTTTCTTTGCCTTTCCTGCACATCTCCATAAACTCGTCCAGATTCAGGCATTCGATCCGACCCTCTTGGCTAGTGGGACCAGGCCCGGGCACACTATTCTGGTCCGGTAGGCCCCGCAGCGCAGAATTTTTGGAGTAGGTGACGAGCAAATCTCCACAAGGCTGGGCATCCGCACTACCGTCTTCCCCCGAACACAACACACCCTTATTTGTGCTGTACCTGGCCGGAAATACAGTTTGTATGCATTCATTTTTAGGGTGCGTTATGTTCGGGGGAAGACGGTAGCGGTTTAAACTTTAACATGAACATCATACCGGCGGGGTTGGGCGCTGGGACTTGGGTACCAGCCAGTAGAACTATGTTCACGTTCAGCAGGCACCCACCGCCTTCACCCCCAAAAATATGTGCGTACTTTGTATATACGAATAGAATTCACGGGGTGAATAGAATTTATGGGATGTTGAATTAAAGTATGACGTCCGTATGTTGTATAAATAATTTCAGTGTACAACTTTTCAGAACCCCATTACTGGTGCTTTTTTTTTTCTCGACTTTGGTGGGGAATTTTTTTTTTTTTTTTTTTTGGGGGGGGGGGGGGGGTTTTTTTTTTTTTTTTTTTTTTTTTTTTTTTTTTTTTGGTTTTTTTTTTTTTTTTTTTTAATTATTTTTTTTTGCAACGGAACAATGTCTTTATAAAATTCGGGAACTGGGCCCGGCGTCCCTCGACAGGCCCCTCATGCCAAAACTGTTTGTATTTCAAAATTTTACACCATTTTTTTTTCCATATATTTTTTACTTTTAAGTAAATAAAAATAATAAAATATCCATATTGGTTGCCAATTTGGACAGGATCATCGGGCAAAAGTTTTTTGGCCTTGCAGTGTTGTACAACTTCCTTTTTCTGTTAAGAAAAATAAAAACACAACTTTTTACGTTACTCTGCCAGTGTTGGGAAATTGCGTCAAAACGCCCATTCCCGAAGAATTCGGAGGTGGGACCCAGGGTCGGGAATTCCCATAAATCTTAGTTTTACATTGCCTGCGCGTGAATGGAAAACAACAAAAAAAGAAAATGCTCTCTCTACTGCAATGATGCCGGGCAGGGTAGTCTAGGAGGCCGTGCTCACAGTCATCCTCCACAGAATGAATCTTACAGCTAACACGGTCACATTCTGAAAGCTGTTTTCTTTTTTTTTCTCTCTCTCTTTTTTCTTTCTTATAGTTCCCTGCCAACCAGGCAGGGCGGAATCCGTGATCTGCTCAAGCTGTGGTTCCTCGGAGGATTGTAACCGTGATCACACTCACACTTAGAGGAATGTGTCCAGCCATACTCACAGCCGAGTCCGTGTTTCCTTGTTTTTTTCTTCTTCTTTTGTCTTTTTTCTGGAATCTCACAATGTGGCCACGGGGCCGAGATGCCCTCACTGAGGGCACACTCACACTACCGCTTCCAAGAAGGTATACAACTGCAATCACAGCCAAAGCTTTGTTTCCTTTTTTCTGTTTTCTTCTTTTCTGAGTTTCAGGGCCGCAATTTTTCTTCTTTTCTTCTTCTTCTTCTTCTTCTTCTTTTTTGTTCTCTCCGTGAGAGTACCAGAAAGAAAATGCAACTTTTCTTCTTTTCTTCTTCTTCTTTTCTTTTTTTTTGTTCTTTCCGTGAGAGTACCAGAAAGAAAATGCAATGGGACCCGACCCAGGCTCGGCAAAACTCGGAGCGCAGTGAATTCAGGCTGGCAAAAACAGGCTCGGAGGTACTAGTGGCTTAAGCTCTTTGAAAAATTGAAAGTCTGCAAAAATCAGAGAACAGTGTCTCAGACATTGCGTACCCGAAATACAGCGCACAGAGTTGTACTCGAACATACGTTCTATTAATAATTAAAAAAAAAAAAAAAAAACAGCAATTTCTGAGAATCCGTTTTTCAAGTAGTCAACCAGTAGTTAGTGATCTGGTTCTTATCTCTTCTTCTGTACCATCGAGGACGGTGGCAGCTACAATGCCATTGTCTGGACAGGCTCAGGTTAGCACGCAGCAACCC